AGTAGTAGTAGTAGTAGTAGTAGTAGTAGTAGTAGTCGTAGTAGTAGTAGTAGTAGTAGTAGTAGTACCAGTACCAGTACCAGTACCAGTAGCAGTAGCAGCAACAGTAGCAGTAGCAGTATCAGTACCAGTATCAGCAGCAGCAGCAGCAGTAGCAGTAGCAGTAGTAGTAGTAGTAGTAGTAGTAGTAGTACTAGTAGTTGTTGTTGTTGTTGTAGTAGTGCTAGCAATGATATGGCTAGTAGTATTAGTACTACTAGTGACGACATTGACAATCATAATGAGCAGAAGAAGATGCTCATAATATGTAATATGAAGAATAATATGGAAGATGGCGACTCCAGCGGCCCGATCAGCGAGTGCGAGGTCATGGAGGAGCTGGCAATGCGTCGCGACATGGGCGGCTTGAGGCAGATGCCCTGGAGGGCCTGATGGCGGCGATGCCCGACGAGCTGGAGGAGGCCAACGCCCGCGCGGCGGCGAGAAGGACGAGCCCAGGGCGCCATCAGCGGTCTTCCAGGAAGGCACGCTGCTCACCGAAGCCACGGCGCTGGGGCGGAACTTGGCAGCGCGGGCGAAGCCTTGGGTCATCGATGTCGCCGCGCCCGGCCATGCCGTGGATGAGTGGCAGCGCTGGATGATCCCGCGCCTTTCTGCCATCTTTCAGAGCACGCCGCCCGTCGGGAGGCTGACGGCCGCTCCCCAGGAGCGGCACGGAGGCACCCAACCAGAGCAGCTCGCTGACAACCTGGCCAGCGCGGCCTGGCAGCGGCGCAGGGGTCGCGGGCTCCTCGCCAACTGCCAACTGCGCGGCTAGCCCGGAGGACTGGAACCACCAGGCGTGGAACAACGTCCCGACGACGCAAGTGAAGGAGACACTGGCGGACCTCATGAGGCAGATCGCGGCGGTGCAGGGCCGCGCACCAGATGGCACCCCTAGGCCGCGCAGCGACCGCAAAGGCTGGGTGGAGGTCATCGAGATGCGCGGGTCAAGACCCCCTTCGCGCCAACCAGCAACCTCCGCTGGCGCCAGTGCCAGCAGCGCGAGCACCGCAGCGCCAGAGGCGCCACCCCAACAGGAGGAGGACAACGCCAGTGCTGCGACGCGGACAGAGCCACGCGCGGCAGGCATGATTGCGGCAATCAGCCTCGGCGCGGGCATGGGCAGGCTCGACGGGCAAGAACACCCCAACCCGACAAGGAGACCAGCGCCGGCAGACGATCGCTGGTGCAAGCGAGGAAGAGTCGTGGAGCCAATTGGGGCCCTCAAAAGCAGGGTGGCCGATGCCCCCAGTTTGGTCGGCGGCTGGGCTCTCCAAGGTGGGGTGATTGATGCGCCAGCGCAGGCGACTGCAATCGGGGTCCTCAGAAAGGGCGGGGTCAATGCCCTCGCGGAGCGACGACGCCCGAGTGCAAAGTGATGAGGAATCTCTATTCCAAGGGAAAGCCTCAGGCTCATATCCTGTGGACGCCCCGGTGGCCCGATGGGGGGTGCTGCACGTTCCAGTCGCCGCGTTGAGCTGGGACCAGGCGCTGCTATGGTGGGTGAGGCTATTTCCACAGCGGCAGTAATCGACAGGTGCAGTTCCGTTGCAGAACCTACTTTAACTGGATGCTTGTTGGCTGGCAGCGGCAAGCAGATGTCCGGAGCGCCACCCAACTTCGGCACTCCTGATGGGTCTTTTGGCGGTGCGTGCGCCGACAGGAGCCACCTCGGCAACCCCAGGCATGTTGGCCACCCTGCGCTGGCAGCGACGACGAGTTTTTGCTGGTCGACGGCCCCAGGGTCCCTCGCCACGCCAGCGAGGGATAATCACTGGCCGAGCACGGCTCGGAGTTCGAGCACTTCGGCAAGCACTGCAACGCCGAGTTCGATTTGGTCGGCAGCTAGCTCCAGACGGAGGACCACGGCGAGCTGGACGATGCGCGCAGCGGACCTTGCGGGCCAGACGTTGGCGGCACTCGCATGATTGCCCCGGAGTGCGACGGCGCGCAGGGCCAGCGAGGTCATGGAGTTCTTCGTGGAGGAGCGCCGCACCTGCTGCGAGATAGCCCGGGCTCAGGCCCCACCGGCCCGAACGAAGAGCCAGCCCACCGCGGTGCCTGATCAAGAGACCAGACGACACTGGCACCAGGAGCGGCCCCCTGAGGGCCGCGGGGGGTAGATCTGAAGGCGCCCGCAGGGGCGCGGGCCCCGCTGACATCCCTTTCCAGCGCGCGGCGGAGGCGACGAGCGAGCGCCATCGCCAGCGGGGGGGTGCCAGGGGGCGCAGCGGCCTGCCTGGGCAAGGCAACGGAGGGGCGCGGCGGAGCCCTCAGCGAAGGAGCGGTCGGTGCCCCCGCGCGCCCAGACGTTTGCGGGACAAGCGGGGCCCTTGGGGGGGGGCGATCGATGCCCCCGCGGCAATGGGGCGCGGTGCCCTCGAAGGAGAGGCGGCCGATGCCACCGCGGGCCCAGAGAGCAGGGCCCTCAGGGGTGGCCGACGCCCCCGCTGACCCAGCAAAACATTCGGGGCCCTCGCGGGAAGGATGATCGACGCCCCGCGACGCGCGCTGCAGGGCCCACAAGAGGAGGCGGCCGCTGCCCCGACGGGCCTGCGAGGCGGGGCCCCCGGAAGAGCGGCGGCCGATGCCTTCGAGCCGCGTGCCGGGAGGGCGGGGGTGGGCAACGGCGCGGGGGGGCGCCTCGCCGCCCCTTCGCTCGGCCCCGCCGTGGCCCCTGCAGCAGCCGCCGCTGCAGTTGGGCGCCGCGGGGGCAACGCCCGCGGATATCCCGCCAAAGGCGCGAGCGAGATGCGCGCGGCCCGCTGGCGCTGCGCTCCAACCCGCTCTCCGGCCAGCGGCGCAGCGGCTCGCCGCGCGGCTGCCGGGGGGGGGGCGGGCGACGACGTCGGGGCGGTCGCGGGCGACGCAGAGATGCAGGGGCGCAGCGCCGCCGGCAGGGCCGCCGAAACCTCGCGCCCGACCGCGCCGCCCCAGGCGGCGCCGGCGCGGAGGCGGCGGAGGGGCCGCGCCTGGCGAGGCAGCGAGTGCGCGCTAGGTGGCGACCCGCAGGCAGGCCGGCCACGCGGCGCTGCCCAGCGCTGCGGTGCGCCACGTGGAGCTGGGCCAGGCGGTGGCCGCGGCCCTTGCGCTGACTGCGATCGAGCCTGCGGCCCCAGTAACCACGTCTCCCTCTGCCCCACCACCCTCCCCCGCGCCGCCCGCCGACGCTGCTGCGGGCGGCGGGCAGTGGGCATCGGCGGGGGGGCGCGGCCCAGGGCCAGGGCCAGCAGCCCGCGGCGCGAGGAAAATCGCCACAGCATGCGCCAAATGCGCGGGGCGCGCGTCTCTGCCGCCAAAGACGCAAAGAGCTTCGCGAAAGCGCCCCCTGGACACCCGCCCCCGCCGCCGATGGGGGGGCGCGCCCCCGCTCAGCGAGGCAGGCGCGCTCGGCGGACCCGTTTGATGAGTGGCGCCCGTCCCGCTCCGGGTGCGAACCTACGAGGGTAGGCCAGCGCGGGCCCTCGAGTGTCTCGGCCTCGCCGGCCCGGGGCCCGCGCGGCCTCGCCGGCCCGGGGCCCGCGCGGCCTAGCTGACTGCTGGGGTTCTCGGGGCAGGGGTCTGGGCTCGCGCCCGGGGTCTGGGCAGGCTCGAAGTGGCTTCGCCCGCTGGGGGGCTTTGCCCCCGTCTTTATTTCGGCCCTTGGACCTTGCCCGCGGTCGCCCCTGGCGGGGCTTTCCCGCGGCGTCGCGGTGCGCCCTGCAGGGGGCCCTGGCGCGCGCGCCATCGGCCTGCGATGTTACGATGCGCAGCCGGCGCGCCAGCTACGGGACATTGCGCGTCAACGGGCGCCGCGCGCACGCATCGCACAGAAGCGTCGCGTACACTGCATGGGGTGGATTAGAGACAACGTGAGTTCACAATGTCAACGCACTATGTGAACAACGTAAAGAAACATTTCGTTCCTCGGATGCTCCCACGATGCTCCTCGGGCGCCGTCGGCGCGCCCCCCTTCGAACGCGCCGCGCAAGTGCACCGCGCAAACATAATGCGTGCATTGCACGGGGGGAATGGGCATGACAGGAGCTTACTTCGCTAATGCACCACGTAAAGCATCACGTTTTTCTGTATAGAGATAACAACGCGCAAGTACCACGTGCATACTTCACGCTCCACGGGTGTTCCAGGGATGCGCCTGCGGCGTTTCCGGGCGCTCCTGCGGGGGCGTTGCGGAAATATACGGCGAAAACACACCGCATGCATTGCAAGAAAGGAAGTGTAGACACTACTTCATTGCACGTCGTAAAGCACCACGCGAAACAACACTGCGTACATACATTAAGTGCAAACATGTGTCTCAACGCCATTTGTTACAGCACTACGTGAAACGCGCCGCGCAAGTACACGACCTGACTACATGACATGTGAACACTACGTAACATCATGGAACACAAGCATTACGCAAACTCAGCCGTGACAAAGAACACACCATTTTTAATATCTACGCGGCTTCTTTTACGTGTACGTTGAACACTACGTACAAACACACTGCGTACATTATCACATAGCATATACAGCGTATGCTTGCTCAGTGTTTGTGCTCAGCGTCGATGTCACCATCAAGAGCAAGTCTCCGGGCGATATCGCGCGGGAATCGTTGTAGCGTCGAGGCGATAGCGCCAGGAACTGTTCCCATGGACCAAACAATCGTTCTCTTCAAGAAGAATGCAGTCGACGATGGACGATTGACGACCAACGACCGACGATTGACAACCAGCGATTACATCTGACGTCGGCGGCGACGGCGAGGGCGGCGTCGGGAATGTCTGTGATGACGGCCGACAAGGACAAAGAACGACGACCCCGACGACGACGCCGCCGACGACGACGACGACGACGACGATGACAACGGCGGTGGCGGCGGCGGCGGCGACGACGACGACGACGACGGAGGAGGCGGCGGCGGTGACGACGGAGGCAGGACAGGTCCGGCCTGCATCCCGGGGCCGCGTCCCGAGGCGAAACGGCTGCACCCGCGGAGGCCGCCCCGCCGCCGCCGCAGGAGGAGGCCGCCTCGGCCTCGTCGATTTCTCGTCGTTGTCGTCGTCGTTGTCGTCGTCGTCGTCGTCGACGTCGTCGACGTCGTCGTCGTCGTTGTCGTTGGCGCCCTCTTCGGCGCCCTCGTCGGCGCCCTCGTCGGCACCCTCGCCGTCGTTCTCGTCCTCGTCCTCGTCGTCGCCGCCGCCGCCGTCGTCGTCCCTCGTCCTCTCGAACGCTTGTGGGCGTTCCTGGGGGGCGCCCGTCGCCGCGGCTGGGTGCAGCCCGGAAACCCAGCCTGGATGGGCCCTGGGCCGAGGCCCGCGGGCCGGTTTGGCACGGGTGCTGGCCACGGGCGGCGCGCCGCGCCACCCGTGGCGAACACCAGGGTGCCGGTCGAGGCAGCGGCAGCCCTCCCCGGCGTTGTTCGTCTTTCTTCGTTGTGGGCACTTGGAGTATCAGACTCGCACGGGCGGCTCGGGGCCCAGGAAAGCCCGTTCCCGCGAGCCTGGGGCATCACCAGCCTCGATTGTTTGTCGCGTTGGCCGAACACTCCCTCGTCGGTTCCCGATCGTCGCCTCGCACTGCAACGGCGGATGGGTCAGTCTTGCGTGTAGTCGACCCCCGCCTTTCGTCCTTTCTCGTTGTGAGCACCTGGAGTCGGCGTCACGCCAGTATGCTAATATTGTGCATGTGTCGCCCCCCCAAGGGGCGCCGCGCGCACCGAGAAGTCTTATAGTACACGTGGCGTGGTGGGCGCTTTCTGGACACACGGCTCGGGAAACGACTTGCTTCAATATGGGTCTATCACAGTATATGTTCGGGTCGAACGCACGCCTCCAAAGAGGACGCATAGTACTAGTGTGTCCTTGTGCGCCCCATGGAGGTCTGGGACGGGTGCTTCTCACGCCCTGAACGAGCAGCCGGTCCGCCAGATCGCATCCGCTTGGGTGCTCAACAGCGCGGCTTGCCCGACAGGCCGACGCGCCGCCGCCGCCGCCCCTGGCGCCCCCGTCGCCGCCGAAGCGGCCGACCGGGGTCAAGCCGCCCGCAGCGGAGCCTCCCACGCTGGAGGCCCCTCGGCGGCCTTTGGGGGGGGTGCTCTTCAGGAGGGAAAAAACATACAGACACAGTTAATCGCCGACTCCTCAGGAAAATAGGAGAAAAAATATGGGAAGTGACGAAAACCCAGAAGATATAGGAAAATATAGGGAGTATTTCTATTTGTGTGTATTGACTTGTGTGTCCCAGGGCCCCTTCAGCTCTTTGTCGGCGGATCGAGGGTCCCAGATCTCCGACGACGGAAGCTTTCCAGTCCCGGCGCGTTTCCGCAGCTCTTCCCTGGCACTCCGGCGCGCACACGAAGACTTCCATGGCCTGGGTGTGGTTCCCTCCCCCTTCGGCCTCTCCGGCCCCCGACTCGCGCGCCCCCCCTCTCCCTGCGCCCCAGTGCGTGGCATCGCTCGGACGTGTGCATTTTTCCTTCGGCGAGGGCCATCGAGGAGCATCCTGGATCATTTGGCGAAAAAGCCACGCACGAAACCGAAAAAAACACAGGGAATGGACGTCCGAGCGATGCCAAGGGCCTCGGGGCCATCAGAGGTGGGCCCGCGGGGAAAAAGAAGCTGCCATTGGGTTGTGGAGGACGGTCAATGGAGAGGAAGCATGCTGCCAAACAATTTCCAGATGTCTAACAGATGTTTCAAATATGTTCCAAAGATGTTAAAAACATGTTTAAAACATGATTCGTAGAACACGTGTCCGAAATTTCGAACACATGTTCGAGTCAATGGTGGGACTGTTAGGGTGTCCATTGTCGTGGCATCCACAACCCTTGGGGAAGGGGTATGGACTTCTGGGGCCGCGCAAAGAAAAGCCCTGTCGGTGTAGAATGTTTCCGGTCGTTCCTGGTGGTTCTTGGAAGCTTCTCGCTTCCCAAGTTTTTGTCCGAAAAGACACGAGGCCCGGATTTCCTAGCGTCATGATTTGCGCCGCGTTGCCGCGGCGTCGACCCCAGCACGGGCGTCCTAGGTTGAACGCCGCCGGTGGCCCGGAATTGGCCGATATCTCGAATGACCTGCGCTATCCGGGTGCCGCAACCGTTCGAGGTGGACCGATCCACGCGGCGTGGGAAACCAGCGCCCAGGTCGGTCGTCGCCGCACGAGCTTGCAGCTTGCCGTACGATTGGTTCGTGTCGTGTCGACCGGCGGCGGCTCCGCCGCTTGAACGTTGGCGGCGGCCCAGAGTCGGTCGATGTTGAACGACCCTGACGTTTCGGGAACGGCCGATCGTTCAAGGCTGAATGATCTCCGCGGTGTCAGAAACCAACGCCGAAGTCGGCACGACACGAACCTGGCGTACCTACTTCGACTCCAGCTCGTGGGCCCGTTTTGGGCCCCGGGGCCCTCAGAAGTCGAAGCTCGCTGAGGGGCAGCGAACGCGATCTGTGTTTCTGGGGCGACGGGGGATTGGGCAATGCTTTTGTAGGGCAAGAGCAAGCATGAGCAGCCCGATCGTCGGCAAGAGCAAACATGAAATCAGAGCTTCTCGCGAAGGGCGGCTGTAACGATTGCTGTCGACCGACGAAGCGCGCCCGCCGAGCGTACGGGGATCTGGCCCTGGGAACAACGCTGCCCCCCCAGCTTGGCATCGCTCGGACGTGTGCATTTTTCCTTCGGCGAGGACCATCGAGGAGCATCCTTGATTCTCTGGCGAGAAAACCACGCACGAGACCGACAAAACACAGGGAATGGACGTCCGAGCGATGGCGAGCCAGCGACCTTCCACTCGGAAGCCCCCAGGCTGCCGGTGAGAAAGCACCCGCGTCCACAGCTGCGCGGCGGCCGAGCACCTCGAGCCACGGCGGGGCGGCCCTGCGCGGCCGCCCCGCGCGACCGCGGGGTCGCGCGTCCGTGGGGCTGCGCCTCGGCATCCAGGCTTCTGTCGGGCGCGTCCCCCTACAGGGGGACTTTCGACGAAAAACAAAAAATACCCCAAACGTGCCCCAAAAAGGCCAAAAGATATGCAAAAAATAGTCCCCAGACTAGTTTTGGATTTTTTGGGGTTATTTTGGGGGTATTTTTTATTTTTCGTTGAAAATCCCCCTGTAGGGGGACAGGCCCGACTCAAATCCAGTCCGAAAAGCATGGAGACATCATGTCGCCCGCCCCCGGAGGTCGTTCCAGCTTCCGTCCAGACACCTGGGCGGGGATTGTCTGTGATTGTGGCGTGTTCTGGCAGGCCTTCTCTCAGCGTTTCCCAATGAGCGTGCCCGGGAGCTCTCCAGAAGGTCCTTCTGAAGTTCTCTCCAGGTCCTTCCAGAGTTCTTCGGCAGGCCTTTTCACGCCCTTCGGGCGCCCTGCTATCCAGGTTTTGGATCCCACAAGTCATGGCGCGTGGCCCCTATCAGCCAAAAAGGCATGTGACCGAAAACAACCCGTGGCCGAAGAGGCTGCGCCCGAGGTTGCGACTGGAAGCGCAGTGCGACCGAAACTGCGACCAGCATCGACAACCGTTTGGGGTTCGAATCAGTCGTTTCGGTCACACTTGGGCCTGGTCGGAACATTTGGGGCGCTACTGGGCGCCAATAGCAGTAGCTCCCAAATGGCGTCCAAATGGCGCCCAGTGGCGCCATGTGAGTGAGATGCATTACGTCCGCTTTGCGCACTACTGGACGCGCTGTTGGGGGACGTTGGGACGACCAAAAGCTTCCAGGAGTTGCTCGCGAACGTATCTGTGAGACTGTGCAGCCACGGGCTCGTGCTTCGGTATCCCGGCTGAAATCGGAAACTGGAACATACACAGTACCAGGGGCGAGTTGTTTTTTCAATCCCAAGACTTTTTGAGGGTCGGGGACGACGTCGGGGTGGTGTGGTGTATACTTTTCCTTCGTTTTCCAAGGGCAACAAGGAGCAATGTGTGCACCAGGATCCCGTATACACCTGGATCCGCGTCCCTGTGCGAATTTCAGCGCAGGGTCAGGCAACGCGTCGGTGTATATGCATATATATATATATATATAGAGAGAGAGAGAGAGTTTCCTTATGAAAGGCATAGGTATGGATGTGCCCGTCATGCGTGAACCGTCGTCGGCGGATCGAGGATCGGTCGGCGCGGTAGATGACCTAGGACGGAGCGGGCGGACCCGAGGGTGGAGAGCGCGGATAGCGGATCGAGGAGGCTCGTTGGATCAGGGATCGGAGCAGATCGGGCATCGAGGAGGATCCTGGATCGAAGGGGGGGGGAAGGGGGGCGTGTTTTGGTTGTCGCTGTCGAGGATCGAGGTTCGAGGATCCAAGCGAATCCAGGCTCAGGGGGCGACGCCGTCCTGGGCCTCCCAGGGAGCATTCGGGGCCACGGTCGGGTTCGCGTCGGCGTTCTTGCCAAAACGCTCCCCGGGACGGGTCCGAGCGTCGATTTTGAGGGGGGCAATACAGTCAAGACGCTGAAATAAAAAACAGTTTGGGTTCGGAAGGGGATCGATGTTTCTTAGGTTCCTCCAGTACTGTTCCTCTTGCCCTCCTGGGGTACGGAGGCACCTACAGGGCCAAGAAGGGGCTTCGTTCCTTATTTAGCGTTCCTTCTTTCAGCGGCCCGACTGTATTTCAACGGGGTGACAATCCAGACGTGCCGTTTTTGTTGTAATATTCTGCGTTTTAGGGCGGTGTGTGTGGGCCAAGTGTCAAGCAAATAGCAAGAACGGAAGACTACAGTCGAGCAGCTGATTCAAAACCTCCTCCCGAAAAGTTGGGCCAGCGTTTGTTAACCAAGTTGCTGGAAAGCTGGCTCAGTTTCTTGAGCGCGTTCGCCCCTCCAACGTTAACAACATACATTGGCCTGGGCGTGTTTCAAGAAACCTCAATGAAAGTGGCCCACTTGTCTTAATTCACAGTTTTCTTAGTCGTGTTTTTGGCTCCAGTTCCAGGGAGCTTGTCGAGAAGTCTGCGGAAGCACGCACAATGGGAATAGACTACTATGCTTGAGGCGCTCGGGGGTCGGGAAGGATCGATGACTAAGGTTGTTGTGCGTTTTTGGTTTTGATCCAGGATTCGACGAAAGGGCCAGCAATGGCGGGTCGCCAACTGCCCCTGAGGGATCGGCCCGGAGAGGTGCTTGTAAGATTTGTCACCTTTTTGCACCCCTTCTGAGTGTTTGGCGGGGTGTCGACCACACCTCGTGGTTACCCCCCCATACCTCCGACATTGTGACGCCTTCGTGGCGTGCGCCCCCAGAGGACTCGACGCATTCCCAAGGGACCAGCTTTTTCATTGCGAGCCGCAGCAGCCTCCAGGAGATGAGAGTATGGAGAACACTTGCCATTACGACTCCTTGGCGACGTCCAGATCTGAGGGTTCGCCTTCCAGACAGGCCCCCGCCGAGGCGTCCCCAGACCTCCGACGATGTGATTGGTCTCAATCCGCGGCCCAAGATGCCCCGACACCTTCCCTGGGTTTTTTCGCCCTGGACCTGTGTCTGATGGCCCTATTGCCAGGCAGCGATCCGCAGAGGCCGGAAGAACGAACAAACGCTAGGATTGAAAATGATCTTGGCGGAGGACCCAACGATACACAGTTCTGAGCCAGCCTGGAGGCGCATGCAGGCCCTGTCACTGAGGCCTTCAAGTGGAGCTCCCTATGGGGCCGCGAAACGTGTGAGGGGTGAAACGAAATGAGCCTGGAATCGCATGCTGGCCCTGCCTCTGGGGCCTTCAAGTGGAGCTCCCTGCTGGGGGCTTGGGTGGAGCTCCCTGTGGGGCCACGAGACGTTTCAGAGGTGTGCCGGCATAGGCAAGAATCGCATGCGACCTCCCCCCCCCTCGTGGGGGCTTCGGTGGAGATCCCTGTGGGGCCATGAGTCGTGCGAGGCGTGTACCGACATGGGTAAGAACCGCATGCGAAACCTTTTCATGGTGGCTTCGGTGGAGCTCCCTGTGGGGCCACGAAATGTGTGAGGTGTGCGCCAAAATACCGCAAGCGGGTCTCCCCTCGTGCGGCCCTCGGTGGAGCTCCTTCTGGGGCAACGCAACGTGTGAGGGGTGTGCCGGAAGGAGTAAGAACCGAATGCGTCCCCCTCC